TCATACTTCAGACATATTATCACGAGGGATCAGTCCCTGGAGAAGGATATTGTGTTTGATAAAGTGGAGAGAGAGAAAAAGAGGAAGACCCCCAGCAAGATGGATTGGCACAGTGGCAGTAGCAATGGGCTCAAACATAGCAACAATTGTGAGGTTGGTCCGGTAGTGTTTCGTTCTGTTGTACGTAGGGGCGTTATGAGTTGGTGTCGACTCAGCCGCACCTAACAGCAAAAGTCACCATTTGCTGTTTTTGTTGAGTCAATTCCTACTCATAGCAACCCTATGTAGGGTTTCTGAGGAGTGGCTGGTGGGTTTGAACTGCTGATCTTACAATGAACAGGTCGGTGCTTATCCGACAGTGCCACACCAGGAGCCCATATGGTTGGTTCTTCTTCAATGGTAGTTTTTGTCATTGTATGAATTTGTCGATCTCATTTAAGTTATAAAATCTATTAAAATAAAACTATCCACAATTTTTCTTTTTATTATTTTAAGATCTAGAATTTGTAGGAACGTCATTCCTCTCATTACTGAGGTTGGTCATGTTTATTCTTTCTTTTCTTGGTTTAGAGCCATATGTGAGAGATTTATTAATTTATTGATCTTAAAACTTACTAATAAGTTCCAATGATCCTTTGAGAAAATCTATCAAGATTGTTGTTGTTATTAGGTGCCATGCAGTAAGTTCCAACTCACAGCGACTCGACGCACAACAGAGTGTACTATCTTCACAGGTGGTGTTAAACTTGAGCCCATTGCTGCTGCCACTATGCCAATCCATCTCCTTGGGGGTCTTCCTTTTTTTCATTGATCCTCTACTTTACCAAGCATGATGTCCTACTTCAAGAACTGGTTCCAAGAATGAGAGACAAAGTCTCACCATTCTGGCTTCTAAGGAACACTCTGGCTGTACTTCTTCCAACAATAGATTTGTTTGTTGTTCTGGCAGTCCATGGTATTTTTAATATTCTTCTCCAACACCATCATTCAAATGCATCAACTTTTCTATGGTCTGCCAAAAGAACCAACAGATCTGTGTTGGAAGAAGTACAGCCAGAGTGCTCCTTGGAGGCCAGGATGGCCAAACTTCATCTCTCATACTTAGGATATATTGTCAGGAGGGACCATATGGAGAAAGATATCATGTTTGGTCAGAAGGATATCATGTTTGGTCAGAAAAAAGAGGAAGACCCCCAGCGAGATGGATTGGCAAAGTGGAAGCATCAATGGATTCAAGCATGGCAGCAATTGTGAGGTTGGCCCAGGATCGGGCAGTGTTTCGTTCTGTTATACATAGGGTATTCGTGTCTTATTTTCACATGCATATGAGGCGACTGAAAATAGCATGGTTGGGTCAGGCACACCTTAGTCCTCAAATCTTTGCTCTTGAACACTTTACAGAAATCTTGTGTAGCCAATTTGCCTAATGCAGCATTTCGTTTGATTTCTTGGCTGCTCCTTCCATGTGTGTTGATTGTGGAGCCAAGCAAAATGAAGTCTTTGACAGCGTCAGTCCTTTCTTCATTTATGACGATGTCATTTATGCATCAGTTTACCCTCAATTTCAGTTTAGAAAGGACAGAGTCTGAACCAGGCATTCTGATTTAGTATTTGGAGTCAGTTGCCATGAAGGGGCTGTGGAAGGTCAAGAGAGGGCACCAGTGCCTGCTTCCAGGGGCAGGCGAGGGGCTGGTAGGGAGGACTTCTTGGAGGCCGCGGCCTCAGCCAAGAACTCAGTCCGCTTGGCGCCGCGTGGGAAGTGCCGGGTCTAGCTGGCTCGGATGTGGCGGGGCGTGTCCCGGGCGGGTTGGACCTGATGCCTTGGGGAGTCACAACGCATCATATGACCGCCAGGGGGCAGCGCGTCCCAACTCAGGGCGGCCGGGGGCGGGGCGGGCGGACTCCGGCCACGCCTCCGTCCCAGTCCTTCCGCCTCCTCTGCCAAGTCCCGCGGGGCCGCTGGCGTCTGCGGTTGTGGGGCAGCGGGAGGCCCTCGGCGCCCACGGAGAGCGTTCTGGGGGCCCCCCAGGACCCAGGATGCGGTCGTTTGGGGAGGGTGGCGGCAGGACAGGACGCACTGTCCCCGTCCCCCCGCCCACTTCCTTCTCACACACCTATCTGACAGCTTAATACACCTGGGGCGGCTTCAGACACCCGTCCACTTCCCCCTCACCCACCTGCCACTTCGGTCACACCTCCTCACCTTCATGGGCCTGACTCACCTGTCCCTGACCCTTTTCTCACCGCCCACCGTGTCCCTCCCTCCATTTCCCGCCCTTGACCTCCTCACAGTCGGTCCACTTCCTGTTCCTGACCTCCCCACGTTCACACACCTGCCCTTGACAGACTCACACACCTGCCGGACCTCTTCACGCTTCAGTGGTGTCTCCTAACAAACTTGTGAAGGCCGGGCTGCCTTCTGGCTAGCGCGACCTCTTCGCTTACCATCCCACTTTGCCCTGGAGCGCCCTGTCTGTGATCTCCAGTCGGCCAGCGGGGGCGTCCTCAGTGGGCCGGGAGACTGCCCCTCTAGGCTGATTCCAAGACAGAGCCTCGCCTTGACCGACTTCCTTCTCACCTGCTGGGCCAGGCTCCTGTCCATTGTGCTGGGAAGAGCCACTAGGGTCTCTGGCCTTCCGCTCAGGGCACATACGTGCACAGCAGGGGCTGAGAGGACCCGGACTGGGTTTCCCTCCACCACCCAGAGGCAGGATTTGCAACCCCTCAGTCAATTTGGAGCAGATGAGGACTAGCGCCTCCTGAAGGCACTGTCTCATAAATGCTCTCATTTCAGTCTTCCCAGAAACACTTCCCGGAACAGGTGGCTTCTGGGCAGAGCCCTGAGATGAGACATTGTTCCAGGCAGGGTTCCTGGGGGAACAGCAGGGGTTAAGAAAAGCCCAGGTGGGATGGAAGGCATGCCCGTCTTGGGCTGGGAGGCTAGTGATCTGGGAGATAGGCAGACCGGAAGCATCCAGGGCCTCAAACATCATTGGTTTGTGTTGAAGGCACTGGGGGAGTCACAGCAAGGTCAAGGTTGCGTTTAAAACGATCTCATTTTCAGAAGAAGTCACAGTGGATGGAAAGTCAGAGAAAGGAGAGAGAGGATGGTAGGTGGGGGTTGAGGGCTGAGAAAGACCCTGATGGATGGACATGGGGGAGGCATGAGAGCCATTGTGTGTAGGTGTCTGAGCAGGAGAGAAGTTACCTGTGAGAGCTGGACCGGGCAGCTACAGGAGTCCTGGATCACTCCAGGTCCTGGCTGGGAAATCTGTATGCTTTCATTTTTCCATCTCAACCACGGGGACAGAGACAATACCTGCCTGGTGGTGTGGATTAAAGGAGGTGTTGGTTATTATTAATGTCATTATTACTGCTATCACCAGCGTGGGAAAGGCCAGGGAAACCTGGGGAGGAGGCACACTGGTGGGCGACTGACTCTCTTAGGTCTGTTACCTGACCCTCGTTCACTCTCCCCTCTTCGCCTCAAGCCGGGAGCCGCCTGGGGATAGGGCTGGGTACTGGGTACTAAATCTCCCCTCGGCTCCCAACAGCTTTGGGAGGCGGATCTCCTAGTGGGGAACCGCCAAACGATCGTCCCTTCTGGGCGACCCGGAAGATGGCCCAGACTGGGGGCGAGGGCTGGCCAGAGGTCATGCGGCTTGGGCCTGACCACAGCAGTCTCCAGGAGCCTACAAGAGACTGGCCAGAGGCTCGGGCCTGAGCTCCGGGGCCGCACCACTTCCCTGGGTCAGGGGCGCTATAGGCGCAGGTGTGGGGTGAGCACCGCGGCACCTGGCGGGGCTCGGGGTCCTGCGCTAGAATACCTCGGTGTTCAGTCCGGTCAGGCCGTAGGGATGAGGTCGTGAGGCCTGAACGGTTAAAGGGGGCGGGTCTGGAGCTCGGGGGCGAGTCCCCGGGAGTCGTCCGTCTCGCAGCCCTCCGCGGTGCCGCCCCGCGCAGAGAGGGTTAAGCCTCCGGAGCCCGGCGGGGTGGGGGCGGAGCGCGCGCGCGGATTGGAGGAAAGTTTTGTAGTGGGGCGGGGCGAAGGGCGTGTCGGACCGTGCAGATTGGCCCAAAGTTGTCCGGGGCGGGGCGGTGGCGACTCGGCGCTCGCTCCGGGAGAGTTGACAAAGCCCCGCAGGGAACGACGCCTCGCGGCGCGGCCCCGGGCTCCCTCCGCGCGTCGCCGCCCCCGGCCCGGACCTCAAGCCGGCCACGACCCCAGCACAGCCCCGGCCCCAACCTCCCGCGCCCAGGTAGCGCCCC